CAAAGAGCGCAGCCATACTGGTCATTTTGCATTTGCAGACACAACATGTCTTATTTTTTTGAATGAACAGACCCTCCCCTCCCACCCATTCCTTGCTCTTTGTTTAGAATTGAGATGTAATCTAAATAATTGGATTTACCAGCTTATGTTTTTAATATTGGAAAATTGAGTTAATAAAGTGGTGTTTTGGCTTACACGTCCCTCAACCAGGGACCAGCTGGGCATTTCTTTAAATCGCCTCATCCTTCTTGATTCTGCTTTCTGCATCCAGATTGTATGCATACACTGTATCTTCCTCAGGTTTGTAAACTATCAGAAATCCTGGACAGAAATGGAATTTAATTAGCCTAGAAATTGCTTTGGTGCCATATTTAGGGCTGCCCTAGAGATTTAGTGCAGAGATAGCAGTAAGCTGGTTAACTCTATCCTATAGATAACCCCCAGAGGAAACCTGGAGGAGCCGTGCCACTCTCTGGTGCGGCTTCGGATGGCAGACTGCCCGGGAAGCTTCTGAATGCATGATGTGAGGAGGGAAGGAGGGGACACACAGAGGGTATTATTACAAAACAAAAACTATTTGGCATTGGACTTTGTCAGCTCATCAGTGGAGTTTTCTTTAAAGCATTGCCTTGCAGTTTCCTTGCTAACTTTCAAAATATTATCAGTGTTTATTTTGGTGTTTCTTTGTTCCCATAAAGGTGCTGTACATTTTTTAAAAACCTAAATAAATAATGAAACACTTGAAGGCTGTTTTTGGATAAAAATTTTAAGTGATCGAGCAAAATAACTTTTGGCTGTTGGCCATGCTAACTACTAACCCTAAGTGAGAGACAGCCCAGGAGCAAAGGAATGCCTTCTTGTATGTATCTTAGCAAGTGAAGGGAAAGAGCAGAAGATTGATTCCCTTACTCCCTACCGTGGAGCTGACTCCAGAGGTACAGTGTCTGATATGTGGTGTCCTGTGTGCAGGGGGGCGTGGCTTGACCATCTTGCTGGCTCCAGCAGATGTGGCCCATGGATAGTTGTGTTCCGTGAAGACGTGTGGACCACAGCTGCGTGCCTTGGGATGGGATGGCACCTGTGCCTCGTGGTTAAGAGCCGGAACCCGATCTTACTTGGCTCTTGTTAGATGAAGCTGATAATGAATGGGCAAGTGGCTTGGTAAATTCTTAGTAAGTAATTGTGGTGATGGTAGAAATTGTGACGACGGGCAGATGCTTAGTAGACGAATCTGATTCTCCGTGAAGCTGAATGCCAGCTGACCTTTGGGTAGACTTACACTGGGATGGCCAGTGACTTTCCCAGGGGCAGAACACCATGTCTTTTCCTTTTCTGTTGCTATTGGGTCTGTTTCAGATCCATCCAGGTCTCCCTGGCACCTGGATTGTTATTCACTTTGCCCCTCTGCTCCGAAACATTCATGTATTTAGCTGTGTGATTCCTAGAGGATGAGTGACAAATTGTGTGGTGTGTAAAGTGGTACAGCAGGGTGGCTGTCTCTGCCTTCTTCGCACTTCGTACTGATCTAGGGCTTGTCCTTGATACGCAGTAACTGCTCTACGCAGAAATAGGTCATAAAGAGGAGACTGCAGTAGAGCCTTCTCTGTTGGGCCCACAGAATGTCAGAGGAATGGAAGTGGGGTTAAGCGGTAGGTTTATCAGGGACATATTAGTTTAGGGTGGTTTTGTGTCTCTGGGAAGGGGAATTTTGAACAGAAATGGAAGTGACCTCCATAAGAAGTCACAGGCCTGAAACGTTCCCCTTATTGGATGATGAGGAGTCAGCCATGGCATGATAAAGGAGAAGAGCAGTGTTGAGGAAGCAAGGTCCCCTCTGTTGCCTCTAAGGGCATTTATTTCTACATAGAGAGACACTTTATGGAACCAGATGAGTAAATTGATTTCTTTTCAACATGTTTTTACTCCCAGGACATTTTAGCTCAAATGGCATTCATACCAGTATGGCTGGCTGGCTGGCTGGCTGGCTTATCTATCTATCTATCTATCTATCTATCTATCTATCTATCTATCTATCATCTATCTAATCTATCTATCTAATCTATCTAATCTATCTAATCAATTTATTGTCATGCCTGAATTGCCATGGGGCTCCTGGACCCAAGATCTTTTAGAGAAGGGGCACTCCAGATGGCTTCACCTGTAACAGGGCTGTGGATTACCTCTGATGTGCACACAGCATGGTGTGACGAAAACTAACCTGAGGAGCCAAGGTTTGGCTGGGCTTGTTTGTTCTGCCTTCCACAGTGTGTGGCTCTTGGGCAGGTCTTGTCCTTCTCTAAGTTGATTCCATCTATGTAGCAAGCATGATGTTAAGATCCCTCCAAAAATTAAGGCCATTTGCTTTTAAACCTTTGGCTCAAACCCCAAATAGAGCTGACTGCATTCTTTGGTCCTTTAATTCACATGCACGCATTTACACCATGGAAGGTAAATGACAGCAATGATCTGATCTGAAATCACTTATATCCCTCACCCCCCACTGCCCCCAATCCTACATTTTTACACTAAATAAGGTTACCCTCTATATATTTGTTCATATATAAATATATTCATTGCTTCCTCAGTTGACTTATTTGATCTGTATTACATGGCTTGCTGAGAGTTTAGTTGGTTCATTGACTGAGGGCTACACCTAGAGTTCCTAGAATGAAGGAGGTTTTGGTAGGGGAAAGTCCTTCCTTGATCAATGAAAGTCAAACATGGAAGCGAATTGTGCTCTAGTTGATTCTTCTGATACTTGCATGAGGGACAGACACACTATGTATTGTCTGTGTTCTGGCATTTCTGTGTATTATTACAATGGTCAGTAGGGCTGTTCTGGCTGAACTCAAGGCTGAAAGGCTTTGGAGGCCCCACATGGTGTCTTTCCCTTGGCCCTAGGAAGCCCGTACTCTCTCCCCCTTGAGGACTCCGAACCTCCTTAGTTCAAACAGTATTTCCATTGTTGAACGGTTTCGCTCTAGTAACGGAAGGGGCTGTTTCTGGTTAAGGCCAGTCAGCTGGAGGAAGGGGTGGGTGAAGTAGATGCTGCAGTGGGCAGATGTCCCAGCTTGCTTGCTTGCTTGCTTCTGGGGATGATCAATCAGATTGAGTGCAGGTGCTCCTGGAACCACACCTGCCGCTCAGCTCCTCCACCAACATCTCTAGAGGCAGCTGTTCTGGTTCTTCAGCACATCTGCATCCCCAACCCCCCCTTTTTTAACTGATTTAAGATAACATACGCTCAGTTCCTTGTTTTAGACATACTAGAATGAGTCATCTCTCCCTCAAACATACCTGTGTGGCTGAGAGTGCCTGCTCCATGGATTTGGCCTGTAAATTGTCATTCAAACTCTTGTGTGGGGCCAGCAAAGCAAAGTCAACACCTTTGTAATCCTCCTGGGACTGCAGGAGGAAAAGCCAAACCGCAGACCTGCCCCTTTTGCAAAGTACAGATTCTTCCTGGTCTTTAAAAAAGATATTGGTTCATCTTGTTCTTTTGTTCTTGCTTTCATCTGGGTCTCACAAATACTTAATCACTTGGGAGCTTGGCGTATTCCTCTGAGAGGTAATTTATTTTACTGCCACTTTTTAATCTGTTATTGCTGTATTTTTCATAGTCTCACTGAGAAAGTCATCAGGCAAAAAGTCCTTTTATTTGAACACTGGTAGGAACAGTTTATCTTTGAGGTCCTGAGATTGTAAAATAGCTCACCGTGTCCCGCTCTGTCATCTGCACCTCGTCTGTGTTTGTTTTTCATTATGGCTGCACCGTCCTCTCATAATGTGTGGCATTTGTTGTTGCTGACTTTTGAAAAAGCAATAAACACAGAACATCCTGCTCACATGCACCAGGGTTTCCGTAAAACCTTCAGTGCTCCAAGTATGAGCTGTGTCCATTTAAACGAAGATGTACAGATGATAAAATGACCAATTAAAAAAGTTTTTAGTAGAATGAAAAGACCGGGTTTTCTTTTAACGCGGGGGGGCGGGGGTGCCGATGAAGAGGAGAAGCTTGGAAGAGGAGGTGGTTCTGCTGGCCTCAGTCCACCAGCGAATGGCATACACTGCAGGGCTGCAGCTGTTGGAATGAAGTTGCGTTTTCTAGTCTTGTGCTTCCTCTGAAGCAATGCTGTTCCAGGTGTGGGCTCTGCCTGCTGCCAACGAGTGGAATACAGAAATTGAGAGAGAGCTTTTTAGAAACTTAGGGCAGTTTGACAGAGTGATTTTATGTCTCTTGACACTAGGTTAGGTAGATAAGTAGGGGGTCAGTATCTAGGTAGGATCGTAATGAGAAGAGGCCTGAAAGGTAGATTATGGGCAGTTTTTTGAATTTCTAACTAATGATATTGGGTTTACCCTATAGGCAGAGGGTGATCCATAATTTAGCAGGGGTGGAGGAGTTTTGGATAGACTGGAGAAATGCATATGTTTTCTATGTTACAAGCTTTAAATTAGTGTAGTGAATGTCTGTTGCTGACTTGGAGTCAGAATTGATTAGAAGTACAAGTAATTAGGGGGGTTCAAGACGGGTCAGTGATGGGTGGATAGCAAAGGTGGACTGGGTGTAAGGACGCAGGATGGAAGGGCATTGTGTGTTTGCGACAGTATCATGCTGACAAATAGAATGCTGTATAACTGGCAGGATGATTTGCATTTCCTCATCACTGGGTAAATCAGAAATCCATAAGCCAGTTATCCTGTGTCATCAACCACCACACACAGTTTTTGAAATACGCAGGCACACAGTGTTCTCTGGTACACATGTGCTCATGGTGCATACGTTATATCAGTGTATAAAACACAGCCCTTTAATCAAACATATTGCCTGTTAAAGCAGGCCTGTGGTTAATGAGAGTGAGAGATATTGAGCCTTAATTAGAAAGAGTTGGCTTGAAATAGGGTCTTTCCCCCTTCTGTTTCATAATTTTATTGCTGCATGTAGCTCTATGTCTTCTGATGTCTGCTTAATTTATTTTTATTTTCTTTTGCTTTTACAGGCCCAGGCTGCAAGCACAAAGGAAGTTTGCTCAATCTCAGCCGAATAGTCCCAGCACAACTCCAGTAAAGATAGTGGAGCCATTGCTACCCCCTCCAGCTACTCAAATTTCTGACCTCTCTAAAAGGAAGCCTAAGACAGAAGATTTTCTTACTTTTCTCTGCCTTCGAGGTAAGACTGTGTTACCCAGTCACTTTGGAGGGAATAGCCTAGTTGAAAGGAAAAGGTATACCAGTACACACAGGAACGGATGTTAGCTTGGTCTCTGCAGCATGCTTCTCTCAGTTCCCCTGCTTTGAGGTAGAGTTTAAAGTGAGAAATCCCACTGCCAGGGTGCCTGAGTCTTCATATTTCTCCGTCTGTTTTCATTTGACTCTTAATTTCTGTTAAGTATAGTTAACTGAACATGTTGGTTGATGTATGTAAACAGGACCAATTAATAGAGTGTAAGGTGAGGTTAAATTTTGTAGTAAAGGATGGGTTTGGATTTAGATGGCTGTATTTTTGAAAGTGTTTACTACAGTACTAAGTTTTCTAACAGTTGTGAGGGAAGAACACAAGATTGGCAGAGAGATGGAGGGAGGAGCCTCTTATGGGAATGGTAGATAGAGAGGAGCTTTAGAAATTTATGAACTTGGAGTTCCTTTTGTGAGGTTACTTGAGAGAAAGTGAACAGGAGGGAGAAGGAGGTTCAGGGTTATGTATTTAAACATTTTGAAATAAGTTATAGCAAGATTTAAGTATAGCAAATAACTTTTTCCTAAACGAGAGAGAAAATTTCCACCTAATGCCCCATTGTTCCTTAACACATTAGTGTATAATTTCTTAAAATAAGGACAATCAGTAACCAACAAAATTAGAACCTTTGCAATGATATGTTACTACCACCTAATCCTCAGACCCGCATTTCAGATTGCTGCAAATGCCTCAGTGATGTCCAAGTTTAGAGCATAAGGATGCAGTCTAGAATTGGGCATTGCCTTTAATTGTTGTCTGTTTAGTCTGCTAACTCTGGAATATTGCTCTCGTCATGTCTTCCATGGCCTTTACACTTGAAGATTATGGGCCAGTTATTTTGTAGAATGGCCCTATATTGGGGTTGTCTGGTGTTTCCTCATTATTAGATTTGGGTTTTGCATTTAGGGCAGGAATATCACAGAAGTAATTCCTCAGTCTTCTCAGTGCATCCTGTTGGGTGGTACAAAATTCCAGTCTGTCCTTTTATTGATAGTGTTCACCGGTGATCACTTGATTAAGGTTGGTCTGTCAGGTTTCTCCATTGTAAAGTTACCCTTTTAAGCTCTTTAATCTGTTTTGTTTGGAGGCTCTTTGAAACACTGTATTTTATTTATTAATTTTCTGTGTATGTATGGTTTCATTTCCTATTTTATTCAAAGGGTTATAATCTTCTACTCGCATTTATTTTGATGTTTAGATTGTTTTAGGTATTATCACTGGAGACCCTTCCAAGCTGGCTTTTTGGTCCCTTTGACATGCCCCTGTCATCCTTCCAGCCTTGCTTTCTGGTGGAACAGAATGTTCCAGGCTCATCTTGTATGTTCTCTCCCTGAGCCCTGGAATCTGCGAATCCCCAAGGAGCATTGTTTATTTAAGCGACAGCTGCTCTTTAGAAGCCAAGATCTGAGCTGAGGTGTGCTCACTTCATAGCTATTGGAGTGTCATTTCTCCTAGGTGCTCTGTGAAAACCTGTTGTGTGTGTGTTGCATATGTGTGCACATGTTCACATACACAGTATATCTAGATGTATATTTATATCTCTGTGTATTAAAAGTCCATGAATTAGCACCAGGGCTTTCAGTTTCAGTTTAACCAAAAGGTTCATTCCAGGTTTCTTCTGTCTACACTGAACACTGAGGAACCAGGCTCCTGTTATTTGTAATGCATTTGTTTATTTGATCAATCTTTTCAAGTGTAGCCCACCTCCCATCTCTGCCACTACTCCTCCCCTAGGTGGGCCCTTCTAGTCTCTCAGCTCTGACATCCACCTAAGCCACCACGATCACTCCTCCTTCCCTCCCTTCCTCCTTGGTCACTCTCCCACTGATTACTGTAGGTCTGAATTGTTAGGGAAGGGAAAATGAAGAGTTAAGGTTTATGTTTGACATTATGGGCTATTGATAATCCTCAGAGACTCAAGACATGGAGAATAGTTGTATTTCAGTGAGAAATTTTTTAGCAGCTGGGAGTCATTTGGCCTTGACTGTAGGAAGATGAAGCAGCTGGACCTTCTCTGCCATTTCACAGTTTTACATAGGTCCTTGCTGCAAAATTCTTGGTGTTGAGGGTGAAGATGGAAGGATGTGATGTGCTGGATTGACTGAAGGGTGAAGGGAAGAGAGCAGGTAAGAATAAGAATGACCATGCTTGGCTGACGTGGCTCAGGTTGAGCGTCGACCCATGTACCAGGAGGTCATGGTTCGATTCCCGGGTCAGGGCACGTGCCCGGGTTGAGGGCTCGATTCCCAGTAGGGGGCGTGCAGGAGGCGGCCAATCAGTGACTGGACATCATTGATGTTTCTCTCTCTCTTCCTCTCCCTTCCTCTCTCTCTCAAATCAATAAAACATATTAAAAAAGAATAAGAGTGACCTACTGTGAGGCTGGTAGTGTAGTATGTGGTGTGGTATCAGTAATGGAGTGGGACCAGGTCATTAGCAGCAAGATGGTTCTGAAATAAAGTTCTGTGGTGGCGGAAGTTTTTTGCCTTTGACCACACGTAGCTTTTTAGGGTGGGGAGAGATTTGTTGTTCCACTTACTTACGAACCTGTTGGTTAATTCTTGTATGATCGAACCCGAAAACTTGGCGGGCATATCAGGACAGTGCTGTAACCAACTGAGCTACTTGGTTGGCTAGGGCGAATACAGGGCTTTTAAATGGAGTTGGAGTCAGATTTAACTTGAAATCATGACTTAACTATTTAATTTCTTTAGCAATTAAGATCCACGGATCTTGTTCCATTAGGATGTCAGAAGATTGCTCTGTTAATTATGGAATTAAGTTATAAAAGTGTTTCCTATGGCGTGGGTATGACTCATTTTTAGAGAAGAATGTGTGTGTTTGTGCCTATATAGGCATTATTTTAAGAAATTATTTTTGGTTTGGGAAAATTTGGAGAGGACCTTTACTTAGAAAGGTGTGCTTATTGCTCAAGTATATGTCATCCAGTGAAAATGTTGCCAGGTACCCAGCTTTAACATTTCAAAACTCGAGAAAAATAGTCATGTTTTCTCACAGCCATAATATACTTTGAGTTGTCATAAGGAACAAAGGTTTTTTTTGTGTGTGTGTGTGTTTGTGTGTGTGTGTGTGTGTGTGTGTGTGTGTGTGTTCCCCCAGGGACGGGCAGATTGGGACTCTCAGGCATCCTGCAAAGTAAGTGGATCACCTTAGGGGCAACCTTTACTGGCTCAAAACTTCCTCTCACATTTGCAGTGAGGATTCAGGTGTGACTCTGAATAATTATTTTCCTTACTCATAAGTTGTTGTTTAGTTTTTTAATGTTTTTATTGATTTCAGAGAGAAGAAGGGAGAGGGGGAGAGAGATAGAAACATCAATGATGAGAGTCATTGATCGGCTGCCTCCTGCACACTCCCTACTGGGGATCAAGCCCGCAACCCGGGCATGTGCCCTGACCTGGAATTGAACTGTGA